CAGCTCCAATGAGGATGAGCCCGTAGCCCTTTCCAGTCCAGGTCAGTCTATTAAAGTTTGGGTTTTAATACACAGTCGCTGTATGAAGCCTGTGACCGTTCAGTAATTTGTCTGTTGGTCTCAGCTGGGGTTTATGCAAATACCAGACTGCTGGACTTCCTGTGATCCTTTTCCCAGCAAGTTGCTTCTTAGCACTGCATGTGAGGTTTTTAGCAAGTAGAAGTGCTTACCAAGAAGAAGGAAATTTATACTTAAGAGTATTAAAGGTATTGTTTGTAGTTCCATTTCACTCTCTTTCACTCACTCTTCTTTCCTGACTGACATGATGAGGATTCAGACCATCAGTTTAGCGGGAATTTTCACTTTTTCAGTTTTACCTACAACTACTTTGAGAAATTCCCGGAGAGGACGTCAAAATCAGCCTGTTGCATGACTCGGGAAAAACTGTTATTAGGCACCGATTGGTGTTATTAAAACTGAAACTAAATTGTTTTACTTTTTTTTTTTGTTCCTGACACAAGGCTCATTTCACTGAAAAGATCAGTCATGTAGAAACTTAAATCCTTTAATACTTGTTTACTGGACACTAAAATCTATTTGTACTTCCTTCTATAAATAAGTAGAAAACTATTGAAATATGGTTTAGCTTTATTAGTTTTTAATGAATAAAATGTGCCCTTTATCTTAAAACAAAATGTTTAATCAGGATATTTTATGAACAACAGATTATGTAAGATGGCAGTGGAAGGAAGCTTTGTAAGACTTTCACAACCTTACAACTTGCATGTTGTAAACCACCAGACAATATTGACAAATGACTTCCTTGTTTATTTTCCATTTGTATTGTACGTTTTTTTCCCCCCCCCCTCAATTGACAACGTAAAATGAAAACAAAACTCGTCAATTCTTCCTCTGTTTGTCACGACATGTTATCTCACAGGAGACCGATCTATGAGCAGCTCCCTCTCTGCCTCTCAGCTGCACACTGTCAACATGAGGGACCCTCTGAACCGAGTCCTGGGTAAGAACTTTGCCTGTGTTGCTGCGTGTCCATGCACAGTTCTTTTAGCCATCATGTGTGTGCTCTGTATACCTCCCTAATGACTAAATTAGATTTTTAGACAGATGACACATCAAAGGAAAATCCAAAATAGACAAGTGAGGAAACAATGAATGCAGATGTTTTCATACAGGGCACAGTTAATTGAATGTGGTGTGAAAATGATGTGAATCACATGCTGCGGCCTTCAGTTATGAGATCTGAGATTCTGCAAATCCGGTTTAGCACCAACCATATCAGAGTTTTTGGCCTGCCATCCTCGAAAGCATCATTAGAACACAGACTGTGTGCAAATATCCTTAGTAAGAAGAGCAGTTTCACTTCCCTCTAGTAGATTTATACAGGCCCATAGAACAGTTGTGAACCAGGGACCACCATTCTGATTCAGTAGTAACCTGAGGACCACTGTTGTGGGGTGGATAGACCAAATGGGCACCATTTTAATCCTGAAAGTCACCTTTCTAAATGTTATATATTTGAAATGAATGAGATTTTTCACAAGCAACAAATAATTCATGGAAATGTGTTTAAAAATAAAATCAAATAAAATTCCTACAGTGAAACTACACTATGGTTTGCATGGGCAGGGACCACCTACAATGCCTTTGCAGACCACCAAGGGACCACTGACCACTGTTTGCAAGCCTGTTATAGAATGTATGCCAAAGAGCACTGAATGTGTCGGGGAGCCTTGTGGTGGCCCCACACCAAGCTAACACACTTGATGTTGAGCTGAAGATTATAGGAACATTATACATTCTTAAGAAAGTGTTTCTGAGGAATGTTCTGAACAGCACAGGCTGTTCATGGCCATCAAACATGACGCTAATGTTCAATTTTATTTGAATGAAAGTAATGAGTGTTGTTGGCTGCAAAGCTAAACTCGGTAATTTCCCAATTGTGAGTGCCTTTCTTATGTGTTGGATTTACTCAGACAACCCTGCAGACGCTACGATAGCACAAATGTTATTGCATAATATTTCCCATCAGACTTCCAGTGAGGTAGTATCTTTGGCATTTTCATAGTCATATGAGTCTTTTGACAAATGCTCTGACAAAATCAGGTAATTACTTAAATTAAAGAATATATCTTTTAGGAATGGTAGATCTTTAGCCATGTAGTTACAAACCGCTACAGTCACTGCCCTTGAGCACGGGAAAATGACATGGGCATGTGTGATTACAATTCAACCACGCCAAGGCATCTGTTCTCTTCCTTCCAGCCAACCTTTTCCTCCTCATCTCCTCAATCCTGGGCTCTAAGATGGCTGGGCCTCATACTCAGTTTGTACAGAGTTTTATGGAGGAATGCGTCAAGTGCCTGGACCAAGGAAGTCGGGGGAGCATCCTACAGTTCATGCCCTTTACAATGGTGAGTTATGTGCTCAGGGTGGAGATAAGGAGATGAGTGGCTGTTAGATAAGACATTACAGGAAAGGGTTTGGACTTCCTCCCGAAATGTAATTTTGCTGGTTGCAGACACATTTAAGGATTGAGTGTTATCACTACACAGTCAAATGTTGTTTGAATCAATCAATGGGCCCTGCAGGGAGTATCAGGCTGTGTCACTAACCTTATCCTGACAGAATGTATTTTTAACTCCCCTGACACATGCAAAGCACACCAGGATAAGAAAATGAGAATGTTCTTAAAAATGAGCTTTGAAAAGTATGGAGAGTTTCACTTATTAAAATGAACTCTGGCTTTTGGCTTATTTGACCAACTCTAATGCTTTTATGAGAGCTTGTAACCATTAAGACTCTAAGGGTACTATTGGCTTCCATGCAGAGAATTAGGATGCACTGAAAACCAGATCAAGGGCTAGAACATGCCCAGAAAAAGCATGTATTTCTCACACTGCCCATTGAACAGGTTCCTCAGATACTCTGTAGCTGAAAAGTAATGGTTGTTTGCCTTTATGTTTATCCAGGTCTCTGAGCTGGTGAAGCTGCCTGCTCTGGCCAAACCTAAAGTTGTCCTGGCCATCACTGACTTGTCTCTGCCCCTGGGGAGGAGAGTAGCTGCCAAAGCCATCTCTGCCTTATAAACTATGGGTTTAAATTTACATCAGTCTCCAGTGAACCCCGTTGCCCTAGTCGTGTGTCTGTGGTGCAACAGAGGGGTAAAAATACAACTCTCTACCTGGCTGCATCCATTTAAAGGGAATTATCTTTGATGGAAAATTATGTTTATATCCAAACACTGTTTTGCTTTTTTTTTTCTTCATTTACCTTTTTTAACACTTAAAGAAATGTGTAAATATACTTTTGGAATTAAAAAAAGCCCAAAATGGACATGCTGTTTTCGCCCACCAGTATTTACTTTCATTTCTTGTGTGGTTATTTAACAGATCACATTATGATTACATCACATTTACACCAAGTCCCAGTAACATGAGATCCACTGTGATCACAAACCCTGAACCTCAGATGAATGGTCACATGCTAGCAAGCCAACCACATGATGCCTACACACAAGGGACATTGGGCCACCCTCTGACGAAAACGCATGGTCATCTGGCACCGACCCATCACTTGCAACACTTCCTCACAGAAATCTGTCTGGCAGGGCAGTGGAAATGAGAAAAAAAACATCTACTGTACTTCACTTTAGTTACACTTCTGTGTTGTGGTGTTGGCTTCACTGGAATTTCAGATACAATTAGATCGATGAGACAGCATGCGTCAGCAGCGTGAGCTGGTGCCTCGTGTCGTTATGCAAGGTCATTTACAGAAAGGCTCAGGATTTTCACGATTGTTTTGTTTTATTGGAAATGTGTGCAGTGGTTTTAAAAGTAAAATTCATACAAACAATTGTTTTCATTTTAAAAAATACAATTTATATCATTAGATCTTATCCTCCCCCAGTCCCCTAAAATGTGTTTATAGTTGATCACATTCAGAAATGTTGCTAAACTTCTTAGTGTATGTTATTCTTATTAAACACAGCAGTTTTTGGATTATTAAATATTGTGTACATATTGTTTATGGCAGAGTGGAGAATTTCATTTTCAGTTATGTACTGTTAGTGCAGTGAAGCCTGAAGCTGTCAACAAAGAGGCCTGAGAGATAAACAGTATTCAAAGATCAATAAATATATAGACTTTTTTTAAATAAATAATAATTTAAAGGATAAATAACTTAATGCCATTTAAAACAACAGCGAGTTAAAGTACGTTTTGGCGATCAACCAAAAGCAGTTAACAGTATGGCATCTGGAGGTCAGCTCTCTGTCTCCTCATTGCTCTGGTCCAGACCCCTGAGGCAGTGGACCATGTCCTGCCCAAAGGACTGGAGCTGCACCAGAGTCAGGTGTGCTGCCACCTGGACCTCATATTCCCCTGGCAGACGTAAAGCTCTAGGGGTCGGGGTGGGCTGTGCCACAGTCTCTGTCTGGACCATTTTCAGCATCTGCAAGGCACAGGAACAGATGTCATGAAAGTGCTCTAAATGTGAAATATTTTCAGGATAGACTGATTTAGAAGTATTCAACTACCTTATTGATTTGAATGGTGAGATCTCTGATGTCAGCCATTAGCTCAGTCACTCTGTCTTTGTTTTCCAGCCGAGGAGAGACAGCACTAAGCAAGGCCTGGTGCACCTGAAGACCCTCAGACATCTGTGACAAACTGGCCTCCTATTGGCAAAAAAATAACAGCAAATTAGTCAGGTTGTCCACTTTTTTGCCCTCATTACATTCAAAGACTCAGACAGATGCTTACCAAAGTGAAGCTCTCTGACACAGCTTTGATTACAGGGGCAGAGGGGATGCCAATGTTGGATGCCATTATCACCAGATTTCCATTTTCTGAAGAGTCAAGTCGTAGAGTCTGCAGTAAAGAAATAACATGTTACGGATAAATTACAGCATGACACAGTAGCAGCAAACACACTCCTCATATGCCCCTGTAGCTCTATTTATTCACAAATCCAAGGACTTAGATCCTTTACTAATACCACAATGTGAAGTGAAGGTCATGCAGTCAGAATTCTATGTAGGGATTATCAGCAGTATCAAAGATAAGAATGTCATAAAATATCATTAAAATGTATTCATGAACTTGTTAGTACTTTTAGGTAGTATAATCATATTATACAGTATAATAAACTTCAGAGCATTGCCTACATGTACAGTAGTAAGCCTACACATATAATGTAGCATAAAACTGATATATTCTAGTTAAGATGTTCACAAGCCTACATCAAAAATGTATTTAAGAAGCCGAATAGTACTTGGTATAATCGAGTAAAGAGTACTTGGCAGTCTTAATGCTGAGAATAAATCCACAGACTTTAGAGTGATGGCCACAAGTAATAGGATATAAGACTGCATGTGTTCACTCTGTTTATATGACAACTTCTGTAATAGTCTATATAATGCACAGTGGTTGCTACGCAGCCAATAATTTAGTAATAAATGAACAAATGTGAGACATCACAGCCTTTCTTGCTTAGGTTTGGCTCCATCACGCAGAAACCCTTCTGGCACAGACCTGAGCATTAGCCTTTAAGCTCTGCCTAAGACGCATTTTACTCCAAACAAAATAACCCAAGGCGCCACCAGGACGTATCTATCTACAATACCTCACCTCTGTATGAATGCAGGATTTGTGCGTGTCGGGAATGGAGAGGAGGATCTTTTGTATTAAGCTGCGGCTCCTCTGTACAATCTCCTGAAACTGCGGGTCCGCAACAAGTGCGCTTTTCTCCGGCAGAGGTGCGCTGCGGGAGTAGCTGGCCATGAAGCAGGGAATGGTGAAAACTGCAAGAGGAGAAAAATCAAAACGTCAACGGCGAGGCATCAAAACTATGAGCGTGTGGCACTGGCAGAAAAAAAGCCTGGCTCCCTCCTCAGCACCTCCTCTCGGCTGAAAAGGAACTGCGTTAACTTAGGACAGTTTGATCAGATGTAAGAGCTCCAAAAGACTTAAAATTAACTTTGCATCCCCAGCTACACGTCAGTACTTTAGCTCCGTCAGAGTTCCTGATGTCTGATAATCAGCAGAAGGAAAGGGCATCATTTTACACACATTAATTACATCACCACTCACCAATTAGGATATTCATTGTCCCTGTTTGGGGAATGTCTGTTGACCTAAAGTGAATACTGTCCATGCTTTATGGCATTATATATATATATTCGTGTAGGCTGTGGGGGGGGGGTCCCAGATTTTGTAATAAAGTCTCATTATTACTGACAGGATACGCAAAGCACCATGATTTTAGAGGGTAAACTTACTCAAACGGATGATGATGAAATACTGGACAGAGGACATTCTGTTCATTAAATAGTCAACTTTTTAAAGAGCATCTTTCAAAAAAAACCACCACAAATCATGTAACACAACATAAAATAAAACAAAAGAAAAATACATCAGAAGGATAAATTAAGCAAAAGGGTGTTGAGTGTATAACTCTCTGGCTATTTTGTGTTTTGCAATGCAATTTTTATTCCAGTTTAAGTCTCCAAAGTACTGCGATGGATTGGCGAACTGTCCAGGGTGTACCCTGCCTTTGCCCGATTGCCGGCCGGGATTGCCCCCCCACCCCCCACCCTCACCCCATCCCCGTGACCCCGTTCAGTGACTAAGCGGTAGAAAATGAATGAATGAATGAGTCTCCAAAGTAACACAATACATGACTTTCATTTTGAGAACTGGAATTCCGTCGTCACTGATTTCTAGATTGATGTGAGCTAGAGTCGGAGTCTTGAAAGTAACACAAACTATGTCAAAGTCTTGTACGGAGAGACAGAGAGAGGAAACAGGCACTTCCGCCGAGAGCAGTGACGGTGACAATGAAACTAAAAGCGCTAAAATATTTTACTGACAGAAATCCAGGTATTTTGGAAGGAACCTTCTCTTTTGTTATGATGTCCTCCACAAGTGGTTTTTGACCATCATGAGTCATCTGTGGAGGATGGCTTGTGGTTTTTGTTGTCTTGTCATTAATAAACTGGAAAATCTGACGTTCTACGCATAAAGAAAGATTTGTATTAAATTATGAAACAGCAGCACAGCTGCCACAATCTCCTGTTTTAGAAGTACACACACACACACACACACACACACAGCTGTATTGTCCTGCTGTGAAGAAACTGTTCTTGAACACCCATCAGCCCACTGACAAACTTCAATAATAACCCCATGATGCAGCAAATAGAAATATTTAGGTTTGGTCTTTCCACACAGGTGCCCACTGATTCGGGGATAGTGAGTTAACCAGACTTTATGTGTATACAGGTAGGTTATTTCACAGTGGGCTGAATATACTGTCAATGTCTATATTTTGATGGCAAAAGTTTATATCCATAAATGTACATTTTCAAAATACCCCCTAATTTATTGTTTTTCTTTTGTGAAATCCAAAGGTGAAGCTCTAAAGGTGAAGTCCACACTGGTCTGATCTAAAATCAATCCTGCACATTATTCTCTGCTGAGGTCTTCCTATTTTTTTCCAATGTCAGAAAAGTTTGAGCTAAGTTTCATCATGGGTGTTCTAGGGTCAGGGTCAAAGACAAAATGTTAGCTCTACAGTTTTAATAGGAACTGTGTGATTTCGCTTGAAGTGAGAGTGTAAAACTGAGCTAGCCCGTCTCAGAAAAGAGAATTGTGAAATGTATTTTAGTGTTTTAAGAGGAATGTACCGGGTGTACCAGAAACCGGGTGAAGTGTTGCTCAGGAAATGATTACACAGCAAAAATAATGAAGACATGAGTTTTAATTTCATAAAAATTCTGACTCAACTACAAGATACCTTTATCAGCTGAATGTGGCATGCAGTGTCAGCGCACACTGACTGGTTAAAACATTTAGTGTCAGACCTTCCCTGTGGTCCCTGTGTTGCTGGTTTGCCTTTATAGATGTGATGAAAACTATAAATCCCTGAGAGTATAAAAAGAGCATTGACCTACATTCAATTACTGTCATACTAGTCAATATGTTACATATCTGGAATCTAAAAAAAATAATAATTATAAAACAATCTGCTCTAAATTTAGGTTCTACAGCTGTTCTGCCCTTTGTGTCAAAAGACCTTGTTTGACTCGACAGACAGATAACGTCTCCCACAGACCACAGACAACCAATGGACTTTGACACTTTACTGCTGGCCGTGGAATGACGTAAAACTATAGAAACACAAATAACATAATAAATGCACAGCATCTACTGACACGTTTACATGTGCATACAACGGCTCTTAGCATGTACAAACAGCGTCTACAATAACGTATAACTGCTTAACAGTGTGTCTTAACTTCTCCCGTTGATAATCCTAGAATGTAATGATAAATGAGTATGCTTTCAACTTAAACATTGCCTTTACTTAACTTAAACGTTTTTTCAATAGCTTTTACATACAGAAGGTGCCTTCAAAACAACTTAAATCGAGGAGAAGCGATCATCCTGTCTAAATAGATACGCTGTATGCAGAATGTGGCTCACGTTAATGATGTCGTCACTAAGAGACACAGAAGCTGCAATTACAGTCTTAGGACAGAAGGTGTCAGAATTATCCTCCGGGTCAGATACTGTTCGTAGAGAACAGCACACTCCCCGTCTGGCATTCATGGAATGTCAAACTTCCCTGAGATGGTCCTTAGAGGTAGAAGAGAGCTTCTTCTTCTTCTTGTGTTTCGATCAGCTAGAATCTCTTTCCTTATCTCTGTCTTTGTCCCGATCTCTGTGTCGCTCTCTGTCCATGTCCTTGTCCCTGTCCCTGTTTCTGTCTTTGTCTCTCTCCTCGTCCCTCTTGCGTTTATGGGATGAGGAAGGTGAGGTCACTCTGTGGGGACTGTGAGAGGAATGTGTGGAGTGAGTGGACTGGGACGACTGGGAGGACTGGGAGGTGGCTGCTTTGACTGTTGCCGCAGCAGCCTGGGCAATAGCAGCTCGAGGTTTCTCCTTCTCCTTCTTTCTCTTCTTAGCTGCCTGCTTCTCGTCCTTCTCAGTCTTGTCGAGGATGAACTTCATCACCTGGTTGCACACAATCATTCTCTGGTTCTCCTCTCGCTCTGCTGCAGCGTTCTGCTTCACTGCCACCTGTTTCTGAATGCCATCCGCAGGGTTAACAGCATGCAGGTTCTGCTCTTTCTGTTCCCGTTTAGCCTCGTGGTGTTTCTTCTTCTTTGGTGGTGGTCGCTGCCGCTGCGGGTCTATTC